TATATATATATATATATATTTACATATATGTATATATACACATATATATATATATATATACATATGCACACATGTGTATGTATTTTTGTATAGTTCTTGTCTCTGGAGAGAGAAAGATACTTTTTCATGTAAAAGTAAAGATGAACTTTTGTATCTAAATACAAATTACATCACAAGTATTGCCTCAGAAACTTCGATCAACAAGTAATGAAAAATTGAGGAAATGGAAAAATAGAAAAAAAAGAGGAATTATTTTCAGTTAACCACTGTGATTTATGCCATAGATCATCATACATCAACTGATTATGCACTTTCAACCTAATACGATCTTAAAAAATAAATCTTATGGATACTGATTGACGAACGAGTAAATCCAAATAGAAAATGTGGGAAGTCAAACATTGACAAACCAATAATCCTTCTTTATTCACAATATCTTTTACCCACAGCATCAGGGATTCAGAACATAACAGAAATACAATCATATATATATATACACACAATCTTACATCAATACATTATCTATTCAATTTCACCTTTGATACACAGAACATCAGTTCAGAAATATTATCTAAACTGCCATACGATCTACAAGAATGACAAGACTGTATTCCCTCTTGATAACATATTTACAAACTATGTAAATAAATACACTGAGAACAGCATGGAAAGCATTCTTCATCGGAACAATAGACAAGTAATATATATTTTAGGCATACTCTGCACATTAAGTGGCTAGAAACTGTATATTAGAGAAAGAAAAAAATCACCATTCCCGTCACTGCACGACCAGAAGGTGAGGACAACCAGAATGGATTGTGAATGGTTGAATTCTCTCTAAAAAACAAAAGAAAAATAAGAGGAGGAAGAAAATAAAAATATTGATACAGAAATTCAGCTGTTCACTTTCACTAGCTGGAAGCAGACCAGCAATGTCATTTATGTTGTTCATAACCTTGGTAAGCTTCTTCCTAAAAGTGAACATCAGCTAGAGAATGAGTAAGTAGAAAAGAAGAGAAGTTGATAACGAACACCTGTACCCTCACTACTTCTTAATGTTAGTACCTAGTGGTCTAAAAGGAGTTTAAAACTAGCACAAGAAGTCCGACTGAGGGGAGGCTTCTGATAAAACAAAAGGCTTTTTTTCTCTTTGTGCTCCAAATGTTCTGGGATGACTTCCCCTGGATAAGTCACTGGTCTGCATACAAAACTTGACATGCTTGGAATGTTTTCTGCTTTTGTTTTATTATTTTTTGGGTGTAACAGCCTTCTTCTTTACACTTTGTCTCCCATCTTGGCCTTGGATGTCTGCAAAGAAGAGAAGAACAATTTCAGTTATACCTAATACACTGAGGAATCAAAGTATCTAGAACTTCTATTAAAAGAAAAGAAAAGAAAAGAAAAGAAAAAAAAAAAAACTCATCCAACAATCAAGCAAAAAATTAAGAAGAAAAATAAGAAAAAGAAAAAAAGAATACTTTTTTCTTTCTTTTTATTAACCCTGACTTTATTTCAATTTACCCTAAGACATCAAGTGCATTAGCAAAAGCCTCACCTGCAGAATTCCCACAATAAGTCCAAAGAGGCCAATAGCACTACCAAAGATCTCAACGATGAGGATGCGCACGAAGAGGGAGGCATCAGCAGCGTCAGCAAGTGCGGCAGCAGAACCTGCAAGGAATAGGCTCTGATAACATATGTAAATGTAAATGTTAAAAAGAAAAGAAAGAAGAAAAAAAGAGAGAGAAAATAGAAAGAAAGAAAGAAGAAAATATTAAGAGAAAAAAAGAAAGAGAAAGATGATGAAGAAGAAACAAAAAATGTATGGAAAAGTCTTTAAAATCTGCAGCATCCTGACAGGTCGTGATTTGTTTTAAGGCACTCCGTACTGGTTAACCTGTCTGTGTGTATGACCATCTACCTGGGATGAGCGCCCCCTCATTGGGCGCCAGGAGAGGGTTACGTGACATAGGTATAAAAAATGGAAGTATTAAAAAAAAAAAGTTATATCTAAAGTTGTGCTTTGCTTATCCACTTCAATGTTTTAACTGTTCACCCATTTATACTGCCCACTACTATGATGTCCGTGTTGCATAACCAAACTCACACCTTGCATTACAGTACGAACTCGTCACCAAGTAACAGAAGAGGTATAGGCAATCGTAACATTGCATAACCTTTGCAATAAAACCGGGAAAAAGGAAGAAGGAAACAGATTTAAAAAGAAGAAGGATTCTTTCAGATTTTAAGTAGTCTGTAAAACCTATACTTCTGCCTTCTGGAAATTCAGTCTCCTATACCAAAAACTTACCAACAATCCCAACAGCAAGACCACAAAACAGGTTGGTAAGTCCTACAGTCAGACCAGCAGCAAACATCAGGTAACCAGAGAGGAGGTTCTGCTCAAAGATGTCCTCATTAGCGTTAGCCTTTGTCTCGGAGTACTCCTGTTATAAAAAAAACAAACAAACCCTGTGAATCATGGACACATAAACAAGGCAAAGTAATATTTATATCTGTCTTGTGAAGAGTACATGGTGAAATATCAAAATCAAAGATGACAGTTCCCTTCTACAGCTCAATTTGGCTAACAAAGTTAAACTTTGTAGCTTTTAATTTTTTTTTAGTAAACTTTGTAACAGCTATCTTGCATCCCCTCCCAAGGTAACCATAGAAGCACAAAGAAACAGTGACATGTATCCATGCATGCACCCACCTCCAAAATACCAGCCAGGATGATGGCAATGATGAGTCCGTAAATAGCGACAGCCTCGCAGAAGATGACCGAGATCAGATTCTTGGTCTTGATGCGAGGGGCACGGACACCGCCACCAACAATGCTCACACCAGTTGTGTGGATACCCCTAAGGAGAACAACAAAAGGCTTAGTATTCATCTTGACGTGTATTTGGATTCATGTTAATTTACAGAAATGCACAATGTCGAATTTGCAGAATATCATTGGAAATCTTTAGGGTTCGCTGTCTTTTTGTGAATGCAAGAAATGGAAATTTTGGTGAAGAGAAGGAACAAAAATAATTGCATTTACCAACTTAAATAGAGTCAAAAAGAGCTAAAATAAACACTGATAATGAAATATATCAGAATTCCAGCTGCATGGCCTGGTACAATATACATCTACAAGAGTTCTGGGTTCCCATATACAGTTACTGATTTATTCATAAGGGTGGATCAACACCTCTCTACACCTTGTTACAGCAGCAAAAATATAGCTAAAAGGATTAATCAAACATAAAAAGAAAAGAAAAGAAAGAAAAAAAAATCACTATGAATTGGTACTAATCCAAAGTAAATTTTCTCTTAACAACTACAACAACACGCACAAAGTATACTACGCAGGTTTTACGCTTGCACTTACATAGCAGCTCCAACGACGCTCAGAGAAACAGTTAGACCGATGCCAATGGCCCCCCAGAAGTATGCGGAGACACTGGAGAGGAACCAGCCAAAGTCAATCCTCTCTCCCTGGCCGGTGATGGTGTACCCAATACCTTGAGAAGGGACAAAACACACAATTAATACTCACTATCACATTTGTCTGACTGTGTGATAATAAATGTAAATGAGGGAGGGTATGAACATCCTGGGAAGGGAAGGGAAAGGAAGAAAGGGGAAGGAAGGGAAAGGAAGGATAGGATAGGGAGTGGAAGGGAGGGGAAGGGCAGGAAAGGAAAGGAAAGGAAAGGGGATATTCACATTCACATATTCTCTTTTCTATAACTATATTTACTTGTCATTTGTTTTGTAGGTAGTAATTATGTAGGTATATTGGAGGGCATTTCTTTCTTTCTTTCTTTCTTTTTTGCCAAAGCTTTTTTAATTTCTAATTTCTCAACTCTAGAGCTTGAATGACATCCTGGGCATATCTTCTAATCTTCAATTTTTGGAATTTCTGGTTGGAAGGCCTCAAAATCTCCTGCAAAGCACTTCCAAAGCACGGAAATTTCAACAAAATGAATTTAGAAAGCATGACATGCATGAGTGTTCTATGCCAATGTTTGCAACCAGACAGCTGTGCCAAGGTAGTCTTTGGACACTTTCAGACCAAGGAGCACACCATTTGAAAATAAACATCTTGAGATATATGAAACATTTCACACAGAAGTGGTGTAACAACTGATCTGCGCATGATGCCATGGCACTTCTGTGTGATAGGTTTCATATATTTCCAAATGACGTGAAATGTGATGTGTCATCTTGGTGTGAAAGTGGCTTTTGGGTTATTTGGTAGCAATGTCATCAATACCCCCAAAAGTTTGGATTTATTCAGATTTATTACCAAATAAAATATTTCCAGACTATTATAACATTAATCTTTACAAGAAATATGGACAACTCAAGCGTCTGTCATCACATTCAGTATATGAATACTGACACTGGGAGGAAAAAGGAAGTGAGAAGACCTTGAGCATAATCATGCAATTCCCTACCCTTTTGTTTTCATTGAACAAACTGATAACCTGTTAAGGTCTCGAGTACTTACCAATGGCCAAAAGGAGCAGAAGGTACAGGTACAGCCCATACTGTAGGTATCCTTTAACGTAGCCCATGTTTGGATCTGACCTGAAAAATGCAATCTTATTGAGTTTAAACATGATTTTTTTGCTAAAATGGATAAATATAAAAGAGAGAGAGAGAGAGAGAGAGAGAGAGAGAGAGAGAGAGAGAGGANAAAAATAATCCGATATTGTAAAAAAAACATTTCTCATTGGAAATGTCAAGCGTTCGTTCGTGTGTTCGTTTGTCCGGTCTCCTCGTGACGTCATAATGGCCGGCACTAAAGATAGCAACACTCGGGGAGGGGGAGGGGGAGAGGGAGAGACGGTGGGAGGGAAGGGGGTTACGCAAGGAAGGTGGAAAGAGGGAGAGAGAAGGGATAGGCAAGGGAGGTGGAAAAGAGGAGAGAGAAAAGGAGATAGACAAGGAAGGTGGAAAAAGGGAGAGAGAAAAAGGGATAGACAGGAAGGTTGGAAAGAGGGAAAGAAAAGGGATAGGCAAGGAAGGTGGAAAGAGGAGAAGAAAAGGGATAGGCAAGGAAGTGAAAGAGGAAGAGAGAGAGAAAAGGGATAGTAAGGAAAGTTGGAAAGAGGGAGAGAGAAAAGAATAGCAAGGAAGGTGGAAGAAGGAAGAGAAAAGGAATAGGCAAGGAAGGTAGAAAGAGAAAGGGAAGGTGGAAAGAGGTAGAGAAAAGGGATAGGCTAGGAAGGTAGAAAGGAGGAGAGAGAAAAGGAATAGGCCAGAAAAGTTGGAAAGAGAAGGGGGTCGACCGTTGCGTCCATCCACCTGTCAGGCTGTCAGTCAATTCGTCAACTCGGGAAGCGATTGAAGGGCCATTAATTATCCGCTGACGAATCAACTTGGACAATTAGGGACCGAGGGGGAGGGGGGGAGCCAGGCGCAGGGGGACGGCGCCCCCCGAGACTATTATTGGAAGGCGAAATAAGTAAATAGATAGATAGATAAATAGATGGGAGCGAGGGGGTCCAGACGCTCATCATTTTCGGGATGTTATGATGATTATGATGGTGAGGGTGGTGAAGATGATGGTGAGTGGTGTGGTGATAATGGCATGGTGAGAGTGATGATGATAATGAGATGGTGAGGGTGATGATGATAATGAGATGGTAGGGGTGATGATGATAATGAGATGATGATAACATGGCTATGGTGATAAAGTAATGTTAAGTGGTGGTGGTGATGAAAACAGATAATAAGGATAATAATGATGATGATGATGATAATTAGAATGGACCATCTCCCCCCCCCCCCTTTCCGCGCGAGGCCCCAAAAGGAAGGATCATAACTCCCATCACGAAAGGGGCGGGCGCGGGCGTGGAGCGTTGTTCCCCCCCCCCCCCCCCCCTGGCGCGAGTTGGAATGTTAATGATAGAGCATCCTCCGTCCGTGTGTTTAAATGTTTTGTGTGACTGGCGACGCGCATAATTATTTAGGCTTAGGCTCGTAGGGGAGAAAGGGGTGGGGTGGGAGTGGGAGATGGGAGAGGGGAGGGGAGAAGGAAGAGGGGTGGGAAAGGAGGGAGGGTAGGGGTGGAGAGGGAGGGAAGGGGAGGGGGACGGGGAGAGGGAGAGGGGGACTGGGGGAGAGGGGAGAAAGGAAGGGTGGAAAAGTGAGAGCAGTGGGGATGGAGGGGGGAGGGGAGGGTGGAGAAGAGAGGGGTAGAGGGGGACGGGCAGTGGGGGGGGGAGGAGGGGGATAGGGGGTGGAGAGGGGAGAGGGAAAGGGGGAGGAGCGAAGTGAGGAGGAAAACCCCCTCTCGGGCCCGCTGCGATGGAAGCTTTCCTGGTCTCTTTTGGTGGAAGGGGGAGGAGAGGGGAGAGGGGGGGGGAAGGGGAGGGAGGAAGGGGAGAGGGAGGGGAAGGGAGGGAGGGTAGGGGAGAGGAGGGGTAGGGGAGAGGAGGGATAGGGGTAAAGTTGGAGAGAGGGGAAGGGTGAAAGGGAGAAGGTAGAGGGAGAGGAGGGTATGGGGGAGAGAGGGAAGGGGAAGAAAGAATGAAGAATAGGAGGAAAAGGGAAAGAAGCTCAGGTTGAGGGGGGGGAGGGGGAAGGATATGGCGGGGAGTGAGAAGAAAAATGGGAGTAGAGAAAGACCAGAGAGACCGACACATGCAGAAATAGGGATCGTGCATTATTCCAGGCGCCATGAATAACCTGTACAGTCGGGAACATTTTTCTCTTCTGAGAATCCCGCACGCGTTCCCCTTAATACACATTTCGCAGTTTTAATATAGTCAAAAAAACAAAAAAGAAAAAGAAAAAAAAAACGTGATCCTTTTAAGCGCAGTTGGTGAAAAAAGGGGCGTGAAAGTTCCCGAGACTTTTTCTTTCTTCATTTCCGGCCTCTCACTCTGGTGTCAACCCACCGGCTTCACTGGCCCCTCTCCCTCTCTCCCTCTTGTGTGTTCTCCCTCCTCCTCCTCCTTCTCTCGTTTCTCCCCTTTTTCCTCCATCCTCTCGGCCTCTCCTTTTCCCTACCTTCTCTCTACCTTTCCCTGCCCTCTCTCCCCTTCCCTTCCCTCTCTCCCCTCTCCCTTCTCCCTCTCTCTCCCTTCCCTTTCCTCCTTTCCCTCCCTCTCTCCCTCTTCTTTTCCTCTCCCCTCTCTTTTCCCTCCCCTCTCTTTCCCTCCCTTCCCCTCGCGTGACGTCATACATTAACATGGATCTTCGAGCGAGAACAGGCGAGCATCGAATGGGCGGCGCATGCTCATAAGGCAAACGCACTCGCATATAAGCACGCACGCTGTGTTACAGACATAGACGTACGTACATAAGCTCGTTGGTTGGCATATATATACACACATAGAGGTGCAGACATACGCACATAACCTCGCTGATAGACATACACGAATACACGAAGGCAAACATACACACCCATATATAGCCTCAACGATAGACACGCACACACGCACACGCACACGCACATACACACACGTACACACACGTACACACACGCACCACACACACACACGTACACACACGCACACACACACACACACACACACACACACCACACACACACACACAACACACACACACACACACACACACACAACACACCACACAACACCTACAATCAACACACAACACACCTGACAAACAAACACAAACAAAACAAACCCACACGGAGGGACACACTATCTAATCTGCCATACCCGACCAGCAAAGACAGACAAAGAGAGATCGATAAAAAGGAACCCGAAATGGAATAGACCTTCGCCATATAATAGATAGCCATTGACTTGACCCTGGCGAGGGCTTGCATAATTTCCCGGAAAACCCTAGAAGAGCTCGCGTTCAAGTGGCAGTAGGGTGAGGGGAGAAGGGAGGGGAGAAGGAAGGGAAAGGTAATGGGGAGGGAAGAAAGGAGAGCGAGGAGGGTATGCGGAGGAGAGGAAGGAGGGGGTGAGTGAGAAGGAATGGAGGAAGATGTGAGGGGAAAGGGAAAAGGGGAGGGAAGAGAGGCGAGGAGGGATTGGAGGGGCGAAGGAGGGGAGACGTGAAAGGTGAAGGGAAGGAAGGAGACGAGAAGGTTGAAGGGAGAGAAAGGGAGGGGAAAAAGGGAGGGAAAGGGAAGGAGAAGAGAATTGGACGAGATGAAGGGAAAAGGAGGGAGAAGAAAGATATGGATGGGAGGAGAGGAGGGAAAGGGAAGAGGAGAAGGATAAGAGGAGAAAGAGGAACGGAGAGGGGAAAGGGATAGTTAGAAGAAGACGTGAGTAAGAAAAGCAGAGAAAGGGGTTGAAGGGAGAAAGTGAGGAGAGAGAAGGAGAGTTACAAAAATGTTGAAAGGAGTTAAAAGCATAAGGGAATAAATGGCACAGAGAAGAGAGAGTGAGAGAGGGAAATGGGGGTAGGAGGAAAGAGAGAGAGAGAGAGAGCGGGGGGAAAGAGGGGGTAAAGCCCTGGCAAAAGAGGATTATCATGCCATTTGTCTTTTTTCCTGGCCGTATGGGTTTGGTTTGGGGAGAGGGAGAGGGGGGAGGTGGTGGTGGTGTGTGTGGTGGCTGAGTGTGTGGTGTGTTCCCCCCCTATCTCTCTTGCAGTTGGGGTGCTGTTACATTGTATTTTCTAGTTTTTCTCTGTCTCCATTCTCCTCTCTCTTCTTTCTCTGTCCCTGTCTCTCTCTCCCTCTCTCTGGTCTCTGTCTTTGTTCTGTATTTCTGTATCTCTCTATTTTCCTTCTCTCCTCTCCCTCTTCCCTCTCCCTCCACTCCCCACCTTCCTCCTTCTTTTTCAATCCCTTTTTTTTAGCATATTACGAAAAACTTCGGATTGGTATGGCCTCAAAACTGAGACTAGGGCTGCGCGGCTTCTTCGCTCGCTCAGCTCTCTCTACTTTTTTCCTCTCTCTCTCTCGCTCTCTCTCTCTCTCTCTCTCTCTCTCTCTCTCTCCTCTCTCTCTTCTCTCTCTCTCTTCTCTCTCTCTCTCTCTCTCTCTCTCTCTCTCTTCTCTCTCGCTCTCTCCTCTTCTCGGCTTCTCTCTCTCTCGCCTCTCTCTTCTCGCTCCCTTCTCTCTCTCTCCTCTCTCTCTCTCTCTCTCTCTCTCTCTCTCTCTCTCTCTCTCTCTCTCTCTCTCTCTCTCCTCTCTCTTCTCTTTCCTCCTCTCTCTTCCTCCCTCTTCTTTTTCTCCCTCTCTCTCTTCTCTCTCTCTCTCTCTCTCTCTCTCTCTCTCTCTCTCTCCTCTCTCCTCCTTCCTCTCTCCTCTCTCCTTCTCTCTCTCTTCTCCTCTCTCCCCTCTCTCCTCTCTCCTCTCTCTCCTCTCTCTCTCTCTCTCTCTCTCTCTCTCTCTTCTCTCTCCCTCTCTCTCTCTCTCCCTCCTCCTCCTCTGTTTTCTCTTTTTTTCCCTCTGGCCTTCTTCTCCTCTCTCCTCTCTCCTCTCTCTCCTCTCTCTCTCTCTCTTCTCTCTCTCTCTCTCCTCTCTCTTCTCTCTCTCTCTCTCTCTCTCTCTCTCTCTCTCTCTCTCTTCTCTCTCTCTCTTTCTCTCTATGTTTCATGTGCGTATGTGGACTTTTGTGTGCGTGCGTGCATGCTTTTGTTTATGTAACGCACACGTGCGCGCGTTCACCCGCGGGGATAAACA